CAGGAATGGACACCAGCCACAACAAGCCCCAGGGGAACTCCACTGTGCTGGGCACCATCCCAGCAGGGCAGAAAACTTGCAAGTCTACAATGTGCAGTAACAACCAAAATTAATTTTCTGAGCAGTGGGCTGTCCAGCCACCACAGAGTTAAGTAATTCTCTGTATCCTCAATGCAACTGTAAATCCTGGACACTGAAAAATGTGGAAAAGGCCAAAACTTTAAGGTCTTCTGACCTTCATCCTAGAGACTAACTCTGCATCCTGCAGTATCTGCCAAGAAGAAGGACTGAGCAAACAGCTCAGGACAAAGCCCTCCCTGCATTGCATCCTCCTCCTCCAGCTATCACCAGGGATCAATGCAATGAGAATGGAGCATCTGGGCAGGCTTGTGCTCTGCCAGTGCCCTCTGCTGGCTCCTGCCCACCAGCGCCCAGGCAGCACAGCTCCCCTCTCTGCAACCACATGGGTGATCTGGGAACGCAAGGTCCTCCTGATCAGCTTCCAGAGCCTAGCAGCAAAGAGTTGAATGAATGTATACCTACTTTTCAGACAGGAAGGGGTTTCTGGACTTCTTAGGCATTGTTCTTACAGGCTTGTTCACCACCTCCTCCCCTTTCTCTTCTTCTGATCCATCACTTTTTCCCTTAAAAAGGGAGCAAAAGAGAAAAAAAATCCCTATAGACACATTAAAACTGGTAGTCTTGTGATTCCGGTCTTTTTGCTGCCTTCTTGGTTTTATCCTGTTTTGTGAACCATCTAGTCATGGATGAAATATTTTTTAATTCTCCACATCCTTTGCTGTCCAAATCTCAAGGTTTCTTATTGCAGCCCCTCAGAAAGGGACAACCAGTGAGAAGTCCTACAGTAATCCACCCTAAAATCCAAGAACTTCAGCATGATCTTAATGGCCATGCAAGTGAAGCCTAAACCATGAATTAAAGATTTCAGCTTTTTTCTGGAATTACTACTAAAACCTCTTTAAGTAGCTTTTCAGATTAGATGACATTACAAATGTAAAAGGTTAACTGCCAAAGACAGACACTTCCCCAAAGAGCTCAAATCGAGCCATGAAGATCAAAAGGGTCAAGTCAACCAGTGCCTGAAAACCTATATGAAACAAATATGAGATCTCAGTTACACTATGTTTTGAGAATAAAAGCAACCAGAACTCAGAGGTTTCCTTATTTGCGGTCCAAACACAGGACCACGGAGAGAAAAGTCCCTCCTCATGCTAATAGTAATTTTTCGGGGACAGGACACAGGAAAGTGGTTGAGGACAGTCCATGCAGCAAAGTCTGAAATCTTGCTGCTTGTGTTGTATCTGCATTAAAAATACTACATTCTCCCCATCCAGCCCTGTGGCGCCTTTCACTTAAACAAGGTCAGCTGGGTCTAGCAAAGGATTCCAAGGAGATTTGGAGTGAGCTGTTCACATAGGACAATTCTTCCTCTTTAGAGGCCCAACATCAGTTGTGGAAGAATGTGAAAGTTACGAGTTTCCCTTTTCATCCCCACTCCTAAACAGCTGCATGTCTTTGGGCATATTCAGGGAGTACCAGGCCTACCCACCCAGCCCCAACAATGTTTATAGCTGACACAATCAGAGAAGCAGCAAGAGGCTTTACCACAGGGGTGGTCAGTCCCAGCTGGCGTGCCCCTGAAAGGTCCAGGTCACTGATGGTGGTCACCGTTACAATGTGGTTTGGGTGGTCGATGTTCACAGACTCTGTCCGCGACGTTACCAAGTGCTCCAGTTCATCAGCCTCATCTGGGGAGACAAGAAATCCCACACTGCAAAGTACCCAACTATTTCCAAGATATGCTCGCTTGTTCCTGCAGTTCCATGCGGAGGGGGAGGACCCAGGCTTTGCATGCAGGGTTAAAGGGTGGAGGGGCTCATGAACACCAGCACTCCAAGCATGAAGGGCAAGCTCCTTCTCCCAGCAGAGGGGATCTAGCAACACCTTGGAGATGTCCTCCTGCTTGTTGCTTTCTGTACAACCCACCTGACCCCCTGTCCCACCAGGGCCAGGGGGATGCGGGGGTCACTGCCTAGACTGCTGCCCAGCTTCTCAGGGGGACATAAGGAGCAAAGAGCTGACATTGTGGGAACAGTGTGCAAGCACCCCTGCTCCAGCTCTTACCACCCAGACGAGGGTGTCGGGCCACAGGCGCCCACCTCCCACCCCTCACACTTCCCAGTGCCTACCACCAGCCAGCACGTACCGAGCGCCTCCTCCCTCTCACTCAGCATCTTCAGGTACTCCTGGTGCCGCTGAGGGATGGAAACAGGTCACTGAGGCACCTCTGCTGCTCCAGCCATCCGCCCGGGACGGCCCCATCCTCCTGCAAGGGGGGCAAGGGAAGCCCGAAGACCCCTCCTGCCCCCAGGCCTGGTCCCCGCGGCCTGCCCCGCTCCCAGCCCGCCATGGAGAGAAGGGCGGGAGAGGGACGACGACCCTTCTCCCGCAGAGGGCCAGGGGTGTGTGTGGGTACCTCCTCCTTCATCTTCCTCTGCTCCTCCTTCAGCTTTCGCTTGATCTCCTCCAGCGCCGCCTTCCTCCGCTCCACCTTCCGCTTGTGGAAGCCGGTCAGGTACTCCCTGCCGCCGGCAACACGGAAAGACCCCCCCCGGCCTTTAGCGACGCCCCCCGACCAGGGGCTGCCGCCCTCCCC